TCCGATGAGAAACTGACATTTACAACTTGCTGCTTCAACACAGATAGATATAATCAAGAGAATAGGATAACGCCAAACTTGCTTTCCACCTTCTCAAGCAGAGATGTATTTTTCATGCATCATTACCTTAAGCATTATTTGAGGCCTGAATCCTTTTGCTCTTTCACAGAATTAATTCACTGGAGAGTAAAGACATGGAGGTGGATGCTGGAAATTCACACCTCTTGTCCTGACAGCCTGAACTGATGACTTGATACACATTAATCTTTCCATTCTTCCACAAAAAACTTGCCAAAAAAGTAAGATTCAGGCAAGCAGACAATTTTTTCTTTCTTCACTCAAGTGCTGAGAGCATAAAATATTGGTGACGAACTCAGACAATGTAGTGACGTATCTGCCAAATAACTGGGCCAAAGTGAATAAGAAGTTACTGTGTTTTGGGAGGGGACATTGGCATTCTACCAGAGTTTTTAAAAGAAATTTTTTTGTGTTCATCAAGATATATCCTGTAAGCCAATGAAAAATACTCTTGAGAATTAACCAAAACGTAACTCCTTTATTAATTCTGAATATGTAGCTGGTTAGCTAAGAGATCTCAAATAATAAAAACTGGATAATTAATGTTCTGAGGAACAGTGAAATCTGGAGCAAAAACTCACCTTGTTAAACGCCATAAAAATTTTCCGAATAACTTTATGACCAGACTTTTTTTGTTTATTGTTTATACTGAGTTCAACTTGCGGTGCAGACTTTTAGTAGACCTACAGTAGGGTGGAGGAGAATAAAATACAGTGTGGAAATCCAAACGAATAAAGTAAGCTTTCTGAACTGCAGTGAAGCAAAGACTGTATGGCCGGTATTAAACTAAAGACAATTAGATGAAATGCAAAGTCTTCCATACCTACTCACAAAGTCATGTTTACTAGTGATATCTTTTTGTAAGACAGAAAATAAGAAGTGATTTCTAAAACTAGATTTTTAATATCTAACTTCTAGGTAAATTGAAAGAATGGTCCTTAGTACTGTATGGAACATCTGTCCAGCCTTACTCACCAAGAAATGATTTTCCAAAAGTGGAGCGAGTGCGCTCTAGTCCAATTGAAGACCCTACAGAAGATTATGGAACAGATGACTATTCAGGTGCGTGCTTTGAAGTATCATTCATTTACTCTGGTTGTGCATTTACTAAATATATAATAGATTGAAAGAGTAACTTCAAACTGTGCATGTGTAAAATGTTTCTCTCATAGGACTTTGTATTGTCAATGGTATGGTCAGACATTGTCCAGACTTTGACTTGCTTATTCAACATGTTCCCTCTCCTACATTTTGTGTCTCTTCATGTTTTTGCAATAGTTCAAGACTAGGATTCTGACCCCACAGCAAGGTCTGTAGCCTTTCTTGTCTGGGAATAAGAAAGATGACACTGAAAGTTACCAGAAAGAAATTAAATTACAAATAAATAACTAAAATTAGTTAAATAGAAACAACACCAATAATCAATCTTCTCTAACTAGAAGAATAAAATAATATTTATGTTTCATTTAATTAGTTAGGATTTCAGTAGCACAACTGATGCTAATTATGAAAGGTAATTATACATAGGAAAATTAATATTCTGAGGCTAAAACATGGTACTGAAAGGATGTCTGCTCAAACAGATCTTACATGAGGATTTTCCTGTAGTGGGGTGGGAGTAGCTCAGTGAAACTGTTATTTAATTTAAGATCAGAATTATTTGTTTAATAATTTAAAGTTACATGTGGTTTTTTGGCATCGTTTTATAAACATAGAAGTTATCTATTTTTAAGGTACAGTTAAGGTGTTATGACAAATGCACTGCATTTTATATATGTGCAAGTGCATGTGTGTGTGCATGCATATATATATGAATGACAATATCTTATGTATACGTGCTGTTTTCCACAGATGCCTATTAGAAATTTTTCATTCTTTACATTAGCTTTTAATAGAAGTAGATTTTTGGTGCTGCAGAGTGAGTCAAGTTGGCAGCTTCCCACAGGTAATCCAGCAGTGTCAGGAGCTTTCTATAGATGGTTAGGACTGTTGAATCTTAAGTTTCTGTTACAGCACATCAGACCTCCAGTGCCTATTTTCAATTGAAAAAGGCTTAACTCCTTATTTTGGTGGACAGTGAAACACTATTAGAGAGGCATCTGAATAGAGAAGAGACTTCTTGTTTATATTTTCTGGTCCTGCTACATAGATAGCATTGACACCAGTGATGGACAGTGAATGCTTAACAGCCTTCTTTAGGCGTCAGTCACATTTAAGCCATTAACAATTCTTGATGGCATTACCAGTAGATATTATAAAACATCTTAGCTCATTTATTTTTCCTATGCAATCAACAATGACTCCGTTTTCCATAATGTGACTAAAGATCCACAGAATGATCAAGCCATGACTCACATGAGTCAAAGGCATGTGTTTCACCTTTTCAGATGCAAATACGCAGAGAAAAAAATACACCAAGATCTGTCCGTTATCGTGCATGCACTTTCCAAAAGCTTGTCCAAAATTTTATTGTAAGCCACTGCGATGAGGTCCCTGGAGGCAGTCACCTCAGTCTCACAGGGTTGACAAGGTATTTTCTATTCCAGACATTCCTCTCTTCAATCTCAACATTCACCTCTGTCCGAGTAAAATGATTAGACATTAGGTCACCAAAAATGAGCTGACTACAGATTTTTACTAGAACGTAGCTTGTTACGAATTGTCTTGAGATGTGATTTGTAGAGTTTTATTATTATATTTTAAGGGGTCTTGTAATAGGGAAAAACACTTAAAACTGAGGCCAAGAATGTTATCTAATTAAATAATGCAATAAATGTCGTCATCACACAAAAAATCACAAGTAACAGGGAAAAGAAACACTTGAAGGGGAATGGGAATGAAGTTGCATTTACCCTGTTGATTCTGTGACATATCACACAGCCCAGGAAAAAGGGACCAAACTTTTAGAAGGAAAAGAAAAGTATTTCAAAGGAAGAGATCCACTAGTCATGGGCTAGATAGCAGTCTTTCTCTGGTGTCCATTTTCATAATCACCAACCACACTCTAGGAGGGGAAGAAGAGGGAGAAGGTAGGACAACAGAAATTGCAGAGGAAGGAGAATTATTCAGAGCCTTGGCCTTTTATTTTAGGGAACGGGAAGAGTAGAGCTGAGAGTTAACATTAAAGAGTGGATCCTAGCTCTAGGGAGCTGTGTGAATTTCCTAAAGATGCATAGTTATCTTAGCCTGCATATGTGCTGTAATACCGACAGTGAGTGTAAGTTGCATCTCTGCTGTGAAGATCACTAACTTCTTCAGCTTTTGTCGCATGCACAAAATTACTTTACTACAAGTTTGCCTGATGCTGAGAGGGATTTCAGGGCAGCGTTTCATTTGCTAGATAGCACTGATCCTAAAATAGTTAAAAGTTCACCCGTATGCCCTGTTCCCATGTATAAAGGCAGGAGTCAACAGACCTCTCCTCCCTTAGCTGGAAGGACCTATTTGAAAACTGTAAAGATGAGGTGCTGGTGAAATGGAAGATTTGCTAATCAGCAAGTGTTAGTCAGGGCTTTTGCAGCATGTAACAGCACAGATGCAAGCAAGTCAGAGCCCTGGGGGCTGGTAGCCACCTAGTCCAGTTGTCACCCACTCAGTAACCAGAGTAGCCACTAATTGTGGTGTTCCTCATTGATGTTGACCTGCTTGTGATAAGTGATGTTGCTAATCATTCTTTATTAAGAATTCCAGAAGCCTTTGCAAATCTCTGAATAAAATTCGAAATGATTTTTTATTCATTAGGAAAGCATCTGTCTAGATCCAGAAATAGTTTCTAATGGGTTCATTAACGGATACCATGCTCGCTAAAAAATTACAAATCGCTGTGAGTTGCTAGTGAGGCCCAGATCTGCAAAGTTCTTCAGATACTAAAACCCTTCACTTTTCATTGGAGCCAAATTACGATTTGGGCTTCAGATCACATACATAGGGAAACAGTGATTGCATTCTGCATTGAAATACTGTGTTTTAAAAGATACTCAATACCAGATAAGAAGTGTTCATTTTCCCCCTGGATTTTTTGTTTTATTCTAGGTCCCTGCAATGCAGAATGCAGTAAAGTAGGGTGTGATGGGCCAGGACCAGATCACTGTACTGACTGTCTGCACTACTACTACAAATCTAAGAACAACACACGGTAAGGCCAAAAAGAAAATCTTTACTTTGTGGGTTCTTCAATGTATGTCTTAAATTCCTTACTCTTCTCTTTGCTGTAGTCATGGATAATTTATTTTCCTCTGAATTTGACAAACTTTCTTAGCAGTTGAGAAAAAACCTAGCTAATCAGAATATAAAGTACAGCCTTCAAACACTCTTCCCGGATTATTTCCCTGCCTCTTGATTATTTTTTCATAAGATGTCTATATATATAACTGTGATAGCTATTATGGCTTGCATGATTGAGTTTGAACAAGATAGGAAGAGATGTAGATGGTTAAAAATGATACCACATGACTGCCTGACAAGGGTTTGCCAGTGAGACAGCATATGCTGTCGGGAAAGAAAAGAAGACAAGAAGAGATAGCTTGATTCAGTGCTTGGGAGGGTTGCATTTCAGTAAACAGGTGATCGTTAGAAAAACAGCAACGCTGAGAAATACTTCTGCTTTGCAGTAACAATGCGGAAATGTGATGGTAGGTTATTTCATTAACTACTCTACCTTCTCTTCCCTGCTCCCTGCAGGATCTGTGTTTCAAACTGCCCACCTGGTCACTACAATGCGGACAAGAAACGCTGTAAAAAATGCTCACCCAATTGTGAAACCTGTGTTGGAGGCCACAGCGACCAATGCATGACCTGTAAATCTGGCTACTACCTGAACGAAGTAACCAACAGCTGTATTACCAGCTGTCCAGATGGATTTTACCTGGATAAAAGTTAGTATTTCTTATTGTTTCTTTATTGTGGGCTACAGAGGTCTGGGGAGGTTGCTGGAATACTTACAACCAGGGGAAGCATAAGTTCATGCATTTATCTCTTATTCTGCTCCTCTTATTAAATTGTTAGATGCCAATTGTGATTAAGAATCTTCTCAAAAATTAATCTAGGAATCTGCTTTGATAGCTAGCTTTTAAAAACCATACTTTGTAGTGGGATGTCTTTTCTGCTTGTGGCTGAGATTGACAGCAGCACCATGAAGGCAGTGCAAGGACAGGTCAGTTGCAGGAAGGAGCAGGTTATTGCTACTCCAGACAGGGATGGGTAGCACCCTAATTCTGAACATGAAATATTCCCTATTCCCTCAAACCCAAATGCTGTGGCACCACCGTGACCCTGTGCACATGGAAGAAACTGCTGAGAAGTCTTGCACAGGCACTGGACTCGTGCTCTAAGAAAAAATAGGCTCCTCAAATGTAAAAAATGTTTATAATTATGCTTTTGACAGACTTAAGTACCTAAAGTGATGTGTTAAACCAAGAGCAGTAATTCTCTGCCATGTGAGTCAACTGGCGTCAGTTTCCTCCTGTGATTGCCAGGTAGCATGCCCATGTGTAATGACCAGCTTGGACAAGTAAAAATACTCAGACATATATTCTAGCATGTGCCTTAACTCCACTGACTTAAGTTAGCTTTAGACACATGCTTAAAAGATAAGTATGTGCTCAAAAACTTTGTTCAACTGGATGCCTTACCTTTTGCTTTCTGTAGCATGGAGCTCATGGAGCCTTGTGTTCGTTTTCGAGGATCAGTAAGAGCAGCTGCTGCTTTTATTTTTCCATACTCACTATCTGAAAACTACAGTGAGGGGAATTCCCTTCCACCCAGTCAAGATGGATAGATAATAATTTAGGATTAAGTGGGAATGTCAGTTTTTTCTTCTCTTTTTTGTTTTTTCTTCTCTTCACTGCATTGCAAAAGGTAGGAGATCTGAAGACAGAAAGAGATCTCCCTTCAAGGAGGGAGTTTTTGAGACTAAAAGGCAGGTGTTAAGTAATTTATGTCTTAACTTTGCTAAGATCAGAAGTGTTCGTGCAGGCGTGTCCTTGAACAACGGTTGAGGTAAGATAGGACAGGCTGTTTGTATGGAAGGCGTAAGAGGTACATTGGAAGAGAGTGACTGGAATACATTACATTCAGCACTATGTATATCTGTTATTTGAAAAGACTAATATAAATTACTAACATAAATTAAACATGTTTATAAAGAGTTTTCAACAACCTCAAAGCATGTTCTTTCTCTGAAGTGCACCCTTGGCTACCTTTCTAGCTTTCTGCTTCCATTCCTGATATCAGGCTAGAAAAGCAAGAAATCCTGTAATAATATATCCATATAATTCTGTTAAACATAACTGACCAGGCTTTTCTGGGCTGTTTTCTTTTTTTCTTTTGTAGGTAAGATTGTTTGCCGAAAATGCAGTGAAAACTGTAAGACATGTGTTGAATTCCAGATCTGCACAGAATGCAAACATGGCCTAAGGTAAGGAAATGATGGATGTCACCAAACACAATCGTTGAAGAGGCTTATGAGTCAATGGACGTACAAGGAAGAAAGTTATATAGCTATTTAACCTTGAGTAGCCCTTTCATGCATTTCATTGCTGTTTAGGTATTTTCTTGTACCACTTTGTGCCATTTTGGCTAACAATGGATTTTTAGAAGACCTTTTATTTCAGGTAAAATAAAAGCCACAGTCATATGGAAAGCTGTCTTCACTTTTTTTGACCTACAGTGCAGTAGTCAAGGATTGTGTCAAGCTCTGCTTGGTGAATCGTATTAATCCTTCTGATTCATTCCGGTGATAGTTGGAAACTATTTTCTTATCTTTATTGTGTCTCCTCATACATCCAATCATTCACTTATCGCAGGTGCCTCAGGCTCAATTCCATTACGATACAATGTTCACATATATTAAACAGCAGTGGTTATTTTTGCTTGGTGGGGGGACTTAATCATTCTTGAAATGGATAGGTAAAAGCCACAAAGCAGCAGTACACATTTCAAGCTCCTCTATGAATGAATGACCTTCTGATCCAAGTGGCAAAGGTCAAAAATCTTACAAAATTTGTAAAGGGCTGTGTGCTGGCTTTATGTCACAAAGAATATGAAGTTAGTGTTCAGTATCTGCAGGGGCTCTTCTTTCAGAATATGGATGTTCTGTGAATGTTTAACACTGAGCTTTTACCTTCTGTCAAAGCGGCTTTTCGTCTTTTCAGTTAGTAAAGGTTGAATGTTGTCTGTTTCCAGAATATCAATGGCTAGATGCCTTTGCATTTTGTAAAGAAACTTTTATTTCTTTGTGTGTTGCGTTTAGATTTTTCATGTGCCTGAACAATTCTTATTATGCATATATTTGTTTTTTAAAAGTGACCCTTTAAAGAACAAGTATGGTTAAATGGGAAAGCAAGCATAGGATCAGATCAGAACATTAATCTATTTAAACTCTCTGTGAAATAAGAGTGTTTACTTTCCTTTTAAAATGTAATTAAATTTGTAGTCCATATTAAGATTTTGGAGAACTTTAACAGACCTAGTGTGGCCTTTTGTATATGTGTGAAATCAGATTATTAAAGTAGCAGTTCAGAAGTTCCTACAACAGACAAAACATGTCAGAAGACCCAAGATTACAACTTCATAGCTTTACAGGACACAGTCTCTAAAAAAGGATTATGCTCAAATTTTCCTTATTACTCAAGAATCGAGTTTATGTATTTCCTGGTCAATTAACACAAACAGTAGCTTGTACCACCACTGAAGAAGGGAGACAAGCCTGAGCTTTGAGAGAGGAGAAACTGAAAGAAAAAAAAAAAAACAAAAGACCCCAAATTTCATGTTTTCTTGGACAACGTTAGGAGGCTGACACTGCTTCTGGTAACGTTTTCAAAGAACACCATCTGTGTGGGTGTGACAAATAAATGGAGCCTTGCAGGACGTGTATTTCATGCTCTCAGTTGTTCAGCACTTGCTGCATTTTCTTGGCATTCATCTATGAGCAGAGCACTGCATGGGACTTGGGAGACCTGGATTTGAGTTCTGATCCTGGTATTGGTCCATTAACTAAACTTCAGCAAGTGGTTAGTTTTCACAGAATCACAGAATGGTTGAAGTTGGAGGGGACCTCTGGAGATCATCTAGTCCAACCCCCCTGCTCAAGCAGGGTCCTCTAGAGCATATTTCCCAGGATCGCGTCCAGGCAGGTGTTGAATATCTCCAGGGAAGGAGACTCCACAACCTCTCTGGGCAACCTGCGCCAGTGCTCTGTCACCCTCATCCTCATGTTCAGACAGACCTTCCTGTGTTTCAGTTTGTGCCCGTTGCCTCTTGTCCTGTCACTGGGCACCACAGAGAAGAGGCTGGCCCCAT